TTGGGCTGCAGCCCATGGGTCTCTAATGACTCATAGACATTCTCATTTTCATAATACTGAAGAAAACAGCTCATTGAATCACTCACAATCCTTTATCCTAATTGATACAATCAGCACCGCAATATAATGAAGCACAATTTGCAAACTGACCACTTATGGTAGTCATCAATCTATCCCCTTCAAACTATGTGAATTTATATAAAATCAAGAAGCAATCCAAAATATGCTTACAGTAAATAAATTTCAATAAGGATATTTACCATTTACAATGGGGGCTTAAAACAAAGTTAAGACGAGAGGAGTAGATAAGTATAAGAATTAGAGAAGGTTTCATATGAAGCCAAAAGACATAGAATGACCAGAAAATCATCAGGAAATTGTTAAATTTGAAAAGAACAAACAAAATAGAAATATAGTAACCCTTGAGTGAGGTAAAATAACATAAAAAAGAACATAAAAAGAGAAAAAATAATAAAAGAAGAAATCTGAATTAGGACAAGAACAGAAACAAAAAGAAAGATGAGGGCTACTATAGTGGAATAAGAGACTGAGTTAGAGAAAGAAAACAAAAAGAAAAAAAAGAATTTGCAGAGTAGGATGAAAAAAAGAAAGAAAAATGAGTTTAAAGGGCCTGTTTCAAACTGTATCACTGCTGTCATAATATACAATATGTGCTGCCATTTGCAGAGCTGAGTCCCCTGATCTCAGCTAGCTGGTGGCTGAACCGCACAAAGCAGACTGAGCTTGGGCTGTAAGGCCCAGACTGAGCTCCCCGACCTCCTAAAGGGTTGGACTCCACTCATTTCTACTATAAGTTTCCCCCACCACTTCTTTAAAGATGTTCAAAGTTGAAGGTACTACAAAATACTCTTTATGACCACCTCTGCCTCTACAAGTAGGTCCAAAGACTGGTACAATCAGGAAGTCTAAAAGCATGAGGGGGAAGGTTGGGGGGGTTCGGGGGTGCCCACATGGCTACCTTTCTAGTGCTGAAAATGGCAGCAGTGGCACCAGCAGGGGAGGGCCCAGCCGAGAAGACCCTCTGGCACTGAAGATGGTGGGAATGCCGCCACTGGGGCGGGCACAGCTGAGAAGACCCTCTGACTCTGAAGATTGCAGAACTCAGCCTGCAGGAGAGGGTGCAGCCGAGAAGACCCTCTGGCGCTGAAGATGGTGGAATGCAGCCTGCAGGAGAGGGCGCCCTTTGTTGTCTTTTTCTAGGATATTATTTAGAATTCCTTGTAGTGCTGGTTTGGTGTTCTCGAAGTTTCTCAGGTGTTGTTTGTCATGGAAGTATTTTATTTCCCCATCCATTTTGAAAGAGAGTCTTGCAAGAAACATCAGTCTAAGTTGGAGGTTGTTTTCTTTTAGGACTTGAAATACCTCACTCCAGGCTCTCCTTGACCTGAGTTTGTGTTGAAAAGTCTGCTGTGATTTTGATGGGCTTTCCTTTGAGTATGATTTGTGTCTTTTTTCTCACTGCTGGGTTTCTGGGATCTTGATTATTATATGTCTAGCTGTAGTTTTTTTTTTTGTGTGTGTGGCTATTTGGAGTCCTATATGCCTCACCTATCTGTATGTCTAATTCTTCTCTTCTGTTTGGGAAGTTTTCTGTCATTAATTCTGTGAACAGCTTATTTATGTCATTTATAGTTTCTCCTGCTACTTCATGGATTCCTATCAGTCTTATGTTATTCTTCTTTGTGTCATCTAGTAGTTTTTGGATTGATTTCTCATGATCTCTTACTGTTTTTAAGAGACCTCTCTTTTCATGGTCACTGACTGCGATCCTATTTTCTATATCTGAGATTCTATCTTTGCATTCTTTTAGTCTGCAGTGAATACTTTCAATAGAGTGTTTAATCTCCTGGATATATGTTTGAATCAGTTTTATGGATTCCATGTCTTTCCTCTTTTGGGCATTCATTGTTTCCACTTATTTCTTCTGCTGGGCCTTTGTGGCTTCTATCATGGTCCTGAGCTCATCTATTTTTTTTGTCCATTTCTCTTCTAGAATGTCGAATCATGACTTCCATTTTGCTCACCATCTCTATGGTTATCTGGGAAATTATTTCTGTTTTTAACTTTTCTAGAGCCTGATTGATCTGTTTTGTTACTTCTTGTGCTATGGGTTCAGGGTGTCCTGGTGTTTCACTATCAGACTTTTCATTCTCTTTTGCCCTACTGTGTGCCATTGGTGAACTGGAAATCTGTCTTTATGTCTTTCTTAAATATTTTCTCATTTTTATTTTTGTTGTTGGGTTGTCCTTGGTTTAATTTCTGGGTTATTACTTAAATCTTCCTGATATAGTTGCACTTTAGCTTTTGAGTCTCTAATGACTCATAGACATTCTCATTTTCATAATATCAGAGAAAGCAACTCATTAAATCAATCAAAATCCTTCATCCCAGTTGATGCAATCAGCAACACAATAGGATCAAGCACAACTTGCAAGTTGACCATTTGTGGTAGTCATTAATCTATCAACTTTAAACCATGTGAATTAAATTAAAATCAAGAAGCAGCCCAAAATATGTTTGCAGTGAATACACTTTTCAATATACCATCTTTACCATTTAGGATGGAGGTTTAGACAGAGTTAGGATGAGAACAGTAGATAAGTGAAAGAATTAGAGAAGGTTTCAAGTGAAGCCAGAGGACATAGAATGACTTTACAATCTTTAGGAAACTGTTAAATTCAAAAGGGAGAGAGTGCAAGAATAAGGACAAGAATATATATCCCCTTGACAGTATTAGGGGCTCACTTTCCCTTGAAACTATTGAGCTATGAGTGAGGTAAAATGACAGAAGAAAAGAACATAAAGAAAAAAGAAAAAATGATAAAAGAAATCTGAGTTAGGACAGAAAGGGAGATGAGGGATGATATGGTGGAACAAGAGACTGACTTGGAAAAAGAGGACAAAAGAATGAAAGAATTTGCAGAGTGGAATGAGGAAAGGAAAGAAAAAAATGATTTGAAGGGCCTCTTTCATTCTATATCTCTGCTTTCATAATATGCAACGTGTGCATCCATATGCAGAACCACATCCCCTGATCTCAGCTAGCCAATGGAAGATCCCCACAACTCAGACTGACCTCAGGCTGCAAGACCCAGATTGAGTTCCCCAACCTCCTGCAGATTGAACTCCATACAATTCTACTACAGGTTTCCATGCCCTTTCTTTAAAGATGTTCAAAGTTGGGAGCTCGGAAAAATACCCTTTATGACCACCTATTCCTCTGCAAAGTGGGTCCAAGGACTGGCACAATCAGGAGGTCTGAGAGTGGGGTGGGGGGTGTTTCAAGCACAGCTCCCTTCCTTGCTGGAGATGGTGGTAGTGCAGGCAGGGGAGGTCTTAGCTAACTGGTCGCACTGAATGGGCCAAAGCAGACTGGAGTGAGAACAAATCTCAGAGAGGCCTTCCCTAATCTCACCTCCCTCGCTGGGATGGGTCCCAGTTATCCTGTCTTAAATAACACTCATCAGTCAGGGAAATGAAATAGGATGTCGTTTTCAACTCTCTTCTTTTGTTGTTATTGTTAAGATTTTATTTCCTAAATCTACATCTTGGAGAGTTGCTGTGACACCTTTTCAGGTTTACTGTGGGACTATGGGCCCTTGAGTGTGATTATGTTATTATTTCTTACTTGGAACAGGTTCTATGCCATCTCCTACTCAGGCCACAATGATCACTCTTCACAGTCAGATGGACATCCTGTACTGCTTCAAGAGAAAATGTTGATCTGGTGACATGGGAGGGCCACATCCTGATCACTTTTTAGGATCAACTGTGCTACTTGTAACCTTAAATATTGTTTTTTTTTTTCTATGTTCATCCTTGAAATTAATTCTGTGGAGAAGAGTTTGCTGAACAAGGGCAAGAAAACAATAAGAGCTATTTAGTCTTACTAACTTTGGGGGCCTTTTGCATAAATGTCAACTAAAAATTGTTAGGTAGTCAATTTGTCCAAAGATAAGGATGATGGTTGCTGAGTGGTATAATAAAAAGAACATTTCTGTGAAAGTAACAAAGTGTAATTTGATTTGCTTTTTTCTGCTTAAAAGTGTGACTTTTGGCCCATCTATTCATTTGTGACATGACCTCTTCATGTATAAAGCAGAAAGCACAATACCTTGTTTGTTAGTTGGTGAGGTAATAGATGGGAAAACACTTTTTGTAAACTCTAATATTATACATCAATGTGAGGTCATCTGTGTGGCTTTGCTGTCATGGTTGAAAATGTTCCCATTTATATTTAAGCACAGATCTATTCAATTACTTCTTGGTAATCCTTTCCATAGTTAAGTTATGGAGAGCTTGATTCAGTCATCTTCATCCTTCAGTCTAATTAACTGCCTGAAATGTTTGCTTTATTGGCATTTGTTACCCTGTATTCTAAACAATGAAGATTTAGTGTTCCTTAAAAGACTGTAGTTCTAAGATACGGCCCAACTGAATTCTAGTTGCATATTCTCAGAAGGCCATGGGGTTTTGTGCTTTCATCAAACAGGTCACTGCTATAGCATTTGTCATTTTCTTGTCAATGCTGCACACACAGTGGTAGTGAGTCAAATGGTGACCATAACCAAAGAACTGCCTTTCCACTAGGGTCACTCAGTGCAAATAGCTCTTCATATCTCAGCTAATTACAATGAAATCAAAGTAGGAATTTAACTCCTCAGTGGCACCAACCGTATACCAATAGCTCTGTAACCACAAAGGGACAGAGGGCTCTGCTTTGAACACTGAGGATTGCAGAACATTTCTATCTGTTGGCCAGGCCTGCTGTAGTAGAAGGAAACTGAGTATCACATTTCTTGGAGGTATCCAGCACCCAGGCTACACACAGAATATTTGTGCCATGTTTCAGGGTAAAATAGTCCTTGTTGGCCATTCATAATTACCATCCATCCATCCAGGGCCTTCTGCAGGTTATATTTCAAGTTTTGGGTGATGTGATATTTTAAAATGTTCCTTTGTCTCTGTTGGGCCCCTAGGTCCTGTGTGACAGACATGTGTGAGTGTCCAGTCCACAGAAACTGTTACTGTGAATCACTCCTGGCCTATACCCGGGCCTGCCAGAGGCAGGGTGTCAAGGTGCACTGGGAACCACAGCAGGATTGTTCAGGTAAGAGAGACTTGAGGACCCACCCATCAGGAATCACTGAATTGTCCCCAATAGAGATAGCCACATGGGAGATTGCAGTCATGGGCATGAGTGACCATTTCCCCTTGCACAAAGAGAAATCCCATCAGTGACCCAACTGTATTTCGGTTGGTAAAACACAGGGGCTTCCCTCAGGGCAGGGAAGACAGTGCTTGAGAGAAGTGCTCCATGATGAGCACATTTCAACCATTTCATAATTTCCACTATTGCCACACTACCTCGAGCTAACAGCTGAATGCACTTCGCACATGGGCAGTTGTCACTGAGGCTTGGAGTTTGTATGGAGCAAGGAGATACAGGACAAGTACAGCCACTTAAGGGCTTTGAATAAACATGATCAATTTGCAAAGAGACTGTTATTCACATCCTACTGGAATGTTCCTCCCCACCCCACTCCTGCAAAGACAGATTTCCAAAGTAGTTGTTAAGAGCACTTTATCTCCAGGCAAGTCAATTAGCTTTATTTCCTATCTGTAAAATGAATGCCTTTGTTCATCCAAGAAATATTTCTCACAAAATGGTTGAGCAATAGGCATTGTGCTGAACACTGGGCACTGTGGCAATGCTCAGTGATGGGGCCTCTGTTACTGGATTGCTGGCTTCCCACAGGAGAACCAGACAAAAAGAATAACTAACAATGAACACTTGCAAACTATGGTAAGAATTAAGAAGGAAACACACAAGACAGAGTTCTAGTGAACAAATGGAGAGGAGATGGATAGCTGTAGAGGGGCTGAAGAAGGAAATCTTCTGCACATATGGCAAGGTGGAATTTCAGCTCAGCCCAAAGGACCCCAGGGAGGCAGATGAGCATGCAAAGCAGAAAAAGCACTTTGAACAGCCATGTGGCAGAAAACCATCACTTCAAACTGGAAGGACACCACTGTGACTTGGCCTGCAGGGCAAGGGAAAAAGGGGCTCAAGATGGGGCTGCATGGGCAGAAGGTAGCTGCAAAGGACTTTGTAAGGCTTGGCCAAGAGTCTACCATTTATTCCAAGAAAAATGGGAGCCCTCAGTGGGTGTCCAGCAGGACTTTTTGTGTCTTCCAGAGATGACCCTGGCTGTCATGCACATCAGCATTGTCCTCAGCCCTTCTGTCACCAAGGACAAGTTTCATGGAAAACAACTTTTTCATGGATGAGGTGTGGTTTGGGGATGACCAAAGCAGCACAGGACTCAGATCTCTCACATGCATGGTTTGCAGTAGGATTCAAGTTCCTTTGAGAATCTGGTGTGTTTCCTATGTCATCATAGGGAACAGCTCTAAATGCAGGTGAATCTTTGTCCAGAGTTCACCTTCTACTGTGTAGCCTAGCTCCTAATAGGCCACTGCCTGGTACTGGTCCAGTGCCTAGTTGTTTGGGAAGCTCTAGTGTGAAGAGATTTCAAGGGAAAATATTGAGAGTGGTTTTCCTGGCAGAGTACACTTGCAGGACCCTTGTGAAAAATGGGTGGTGGCCCGGATTAGGATGGTGGTAGGGCACATGGGGAGAAGGTGAGAGTCTGGATGTGCTCAGATTTTCATACTATCTACTTTCTCAGGTAAGGAGCATTAATGATATGTACTTGGAACATCTCAAGGGTGTCCAGCTCACAGAAGATGCTCAGTCGTGTTAGCTGCTGGTGTCATTTAGATGTAAAGAGGAAATTATTGCATGTTTATTACCTGTGTCATTTATTTGGTGACAATCTTTTTTTTTTTTTTTTTTTTTTTTTTTTTTTAAT